AGAGGTTGTGGAGAGACTGGAACACTTATACACTGCTGGTGGGAATGTAAAATGGTACAACCACTTTGGAAATCGATTTGACACTTCCTTAAAAAGCTAGAAATAGAAGTACCATACGATCCAGCAATCCCACTCCTAGGAATATATCCTAGAGAAATAAGAGCCATCACATGAAAAGACATATGCACACCCATGTTCACTGCAGTACTGTTCACAATAGCAAAAAGATGGAAACAACCTAGGTGCCCATCAACAAACGAACGGATGAACAAATTATGGTACATACACATAATGGAATATTATGCAATGATAAAGAACAATGAGGAATCCACGAAACATCTCACAACATGGATGAATCTAGACAGCATTATGCTGAGTGAAATTAGTCGTGAAAGGATAAATATTGTATGAGACCGCTATTATAAGAACTTAAGGTTTTAACACAGAAAAAAGCACTCTTTGATGGTTACGAGGGTGAAGAGGGAGGGAGAGGGGTATTCACTAACTGGATAGTAGACAACGATCATCTTCGGTGAAGGGAAGGACAATACACAATACAGGGGAAGTCAGCACAACTGGACCAAAGCAAAAGCTGAGAAGTTTCCTGAATACATCCAATCAGTTTGAGGGACAGAGTAGCTGGGGCTGCAGCCTGGGGACCATAGTTTCAGGGGACACCTAGGTTAACTGGCATAACAAAGTTTATTAAGAAAATGTTCTGCATCCCACTTTGGTGAGTGGCATCTGGGGTCTTAAAAGCTTGCGAGCGGCCATCTAAGATGTATTAGTTGGTCCCAAACCACTCAGAGCAAAGGAGAATGAAGAACACAAAAGACACAAGGAAAATATTAGCCCAAGAGACAAAAGGTCCACATAAACCAGAGACTCCACCAGCCTGAGACCAGAAGAACTAGATGGTGCCCGGCTACCACCAATAACCGCCCTGACAGGGAATACAACAGAGTTCCAGATGGAGTGGGAGAAAAGTGTGGAGCAGAACTCAAATTCACGTAAAAAGACCAGACTTAATGGTCTGACGGAGACTGGAGAAACCCCCAAAACTATGGCCCCCAGACACTCTGTTAACCCAGAACTGAAACCATTCCCGAAGCCCACTCTTCAGAAAACATTAGGGAAAACTATAAAACAAAAAATAATACACGTGAGGAGTGTGCTTCTTAGTTCAATCTGAAACACGAGATCAAATGGGTGGCTCCTGTCCAGAGGCAGGATGAGAAGGCAGGAAGGAACAGGAACTGATCGAATGGATACAGGGAACCTGGGGGGGAAAGAGGGAGTGTGCTGTCACATTGTGGGGACTGCAACTAATGTCACAAAACAATACGTGTATAAATTTTTGTATGAGAAATTACCTTGAGCTATAAACTTTCTCTAAAGCACAATAAAAAATAAATGATTAAAAAAAGAAAACACTGAGTGAATGAAGTGCTGCCATCTCCCTGAAGGACTCCCCAGGGGACATCTATCCCCTGTGATAAATGCAGTGACATTTATCACACCTTTTGAAGCCCATGTGACAGACCCCCATGTCTTCTCTCCAAGGACTAGTCGTGACTACCCCCCCAACAGATGGTGGGCTTGGGCAGGCAGGCCCAGGCCCAGACGTCTCAATCCTTCACTCGCTCCTGTCCTGGCTACACATGGATTCCATAAGCTGGCAAAGTCAGTGCCTCCCTGGGCCCCCAGGCTTCGCTGACATCGGATCCATGAGCAGACAGAGGAAGCTCTGTCATGCTCTTAAATGGCTGTGCTCCCTCCTCTGAAGGGCGGTGGTTCTCAACTAAGGCGATCTGCCCTCCAGGGAAAAACTGCTAAGGTCTGGAGACATTTTCAGCTGTCAGAACTGGAGGAGAAGGGAGGGAGGTACTATTGGCATGTAGTGGGTAGAGGCCAGGATGCTGCTAACCACCCTACAGTCCACAGGACAGCCCTCTCCACAAAGAACTCTCCAGCCGCAGATGTCAATAGTGCAGAGGTTGAGAAAGCCTGGTGGTGAGCCTCGGGAAAGGCAGGTGTGGCTCCTGGAAGTCAACACAGCTGAGACAGGAAGGTTCCAGAGGCACAGGCAGGGACACAATGCCACTAATGGGAGTGCCCCAGCTGGCACAGGCAGCAGGCCAGGACGTGCTGCCCATCTGGAAGAAGACTCCTCTGGGTAAAGAAAGTGAGAGAGAGAGAGGGGCCCAGGACCCTCGCAGCCCTGGAAAGGCCCAATGAGGTGGCAGAATGTCCTGGGACAAACCCCCCTATCTGGGACAAACTTGACCAAGGGGTAAGGGAACAGCTAAAAAGGCATCTGGCTTCTGCTTGCCACATTTATTTCCCTGCACCTGACATTTCCACTGTGGCACAAACAGCGTTGAGGATGTTGAAGTGTGATATGCGTGTGTGTGATTACAATTACCCAGAAGGAGAGGATAAAGAAATGGATAAAACAGGTTGTAAGCTGCCAAACCTCACCTCTGTGCTAAGCCTTTCACAAGCCCCTGCCCCTGACTTCAGGCCTCGCTCTGCCTTGCGTGCGACTCTTACATTGTGTTGTAAGGGCATTTGTGTGCATGTCTGTCCCCTGCCCCACCCCCCACCAGACAGAGCTCTCAGAAACTGTGTCTGAGATTCGTCTTTATTCCCCTAGGCCCCAGGACAGTGTCGTCAAGAACACAGAGCAATATCAATTCTTGTTTACTAAATGAATGAACGAGCAGTCAAGAGTTTGGGGGAGCAGCCCATTTCTGGAAGGTGAATGGGGTAGCCAAGCATGACATCCTTCTCTATTCTCTTGGCAATTTAAGAGCTGAACTGGAGAAGAAAAGAGCAACTGTCACCTCGTGCTCCCTTTGTGAGGGTCACATTGGGGAAAGGAAAGCCCAGGACACCTGCCCCATGTGTCACTCCACAAAAAGCTTTCCCAGTAGCTCTGCTGGTATGCCCTGCTCCATCCAAGACTTACTTCTTTAAAGATGAAATCTGTCCTTGTTGGTATCGGAGTGCTCCTCCTAAGGAGAAAACAAAGCGGGTCAAAGCGGGTCAGAGCGGTTTGCATCTTTGGACAAGGCTGGATTCTGGATTTATTTCATCCCATCAGGGCACAGGCTAAACATCAAAACTAGTCTCCTCAGCCTCAGTCACAAAAGGGCCAGGGGGGCAAGAAGGCCCTCCAAGCCCAGACAGGATGCTCATGACAAGGCTGTGGGCTTCTGGGCTACTCCCCTCCCAGCAAGCTCCCCAGCTCCACTCAGACAAGCCCCATGCTGAAAGCTGAGCACGGGGCTTGGTGCGTAGGCCCATCAAGCAAGGGTCATCTCACTGAAGGGGAGGCTGGCACCTGTGTGGTTTGCAAACTCCACAGTGATGGTTCTGCAGCATTAACAATGAACTCTGCTGGGGGCCCACTGAAACTACAGATTCCCAGGCCTCTCCACCCCCCTCCCATTTGGATTTGGTGGGTGTAGTTAGGGCCCAGAGATTTCTCCCATTCCCTGACAATGGGAAAATTCTGTTTTCCTCAGAATCCATCGGTTCTATTCATCCCAAATCAACAGAGCCTGGGCTTCTCTAGTTGTAATAAGGGTTTGAAAAGTCATTGCATAATTAAAATAAAGAAAGCAAACAGAAGGCAGCACATACCCCAGGTGCTGACAGCATTGTCCACTCCGGAGGGGTTCCCGTGAATCACCTTCTCCCCTCGGAATGCCCACTTGTTAATTAATTCCAAATCCTTTTGGGTCCACCTGCAGAAGACACAGAAATATGTCCTGACCATTGGTTGGGGGGTTGGGGTGGGCAGGGATCACCTCAGGGCAGCAGAGGGCAGGAACCACAGGCTGTGCTTGGTGGAGTCTGAGAAGCAAAAGGGTTTGGGACCACGAATTGAGAAAGAAGAGAAAAAGAGCTTCCTGGGCCCTAGGGTACCACATGGGGGTGCCATGAGTTGAAATGGACTCAACGACAATGGGTTGGTTTTGGTTTGGGGCCTCTCCAGCTGAGATCGTGCTGGGCCTTCCCTCCTTCTGAAACCTCCTGCTGGGCACAGTGGAAAGAGCATAGGCTTTGCAGACCCATGGTCCCACTTGGCTTCCCACTAGCTGAGTGAGTCTGGGTGTATTACCTACCCTCACTGAGCCTTCCTATCCTCGCACGTCAAATGGTAATGTCATCCACCTCAAAGGCGAGGTGCTGGTGTACTAACGCTGGCAAAGTGTCTTGCAAGGGCTCCACAAACAACCAGCAGGAGTTACAGTTATAACAGAGCTCCATCTCAGCACCGACTCCTGGACCAAGCCTGCCTTTAATAAGAGCAAGAAGAGATGTGGCTCTCCCAAAGCCCTGCAAGTCAGGCAGAAGCACCGTCACTATGAATTAGAATCCCAGATGCCGAGACCCCTCTGGGGCTCAGGTCTACTCCAGCCATCTCTGCAGCTCTTCCAAGCATGAGGCCCGGTGCCTTCCACAGGGTTGAGGTGGGCTCACTGAGTTTGTTCAGTGAACACTCAAACACACGCATGTTGAGCGAGGAAAAAGGATCAGCCCTAGTCCCTGCCCTTTTCCCTCAGCTTTCCTTTCCATCAATTCCCTTCCCCATAGAAATAGCAGAAGCCAGAGGTGGTCTTGCAGCCTCTGAGCAGCCATGCCTGAGTGGATGGAGCAGTGAGCTTGGTCTGAGTCGCTTCTTCCGCTGGCTCACTGTGCATCCCTGGGCAAGTGGCTTCATCTCTGACCCTCGGTTTTCTCATCTATAAAATAGGGACAATAACGTCTATCTCGCAGAGGATACTGAGAGATGGGAAGAACACACAAGTGCTCTACATGATGCCCACCCAGGAAGTAGTATGTGCTCAAAGAAAAACAAAACAAAAAGGCCATCTGAGATCACAGCTCCTGGATTCACTCAAGGCCCAGCTCAACTTCTCATTTGCTGTGCAGCTTTAGGCAAGTCAATCACCCTCTCTGAGCCTCTTTCCTCATCTGTCAAATGAGGATTTTATTGACCTGCCACTCACATGGTGATTGAGAGGCTATGACTAATAATACGTGAACACTGCTTGTTACTACTGATTACCACGTGCCAAGCACTGTGCTAAATGCGTTCTGAAACAGGCCATTTCCTGTAATCTGACAAGGCAGTACAATTACTATGCCCATCCCCACAGATGAGGAAACGGAGGCTCAGAGGGGTGAAATAATGTCCTCAAGATCTCAGTGCTCCTCACTGCTACATCACAACCACACCTGCTGACTTGGAGCCTGAGCTCTTAACCACTACACTTTACTGTCCCAATGAGATTCACTCACTCATTATGTCATTCATTCACCAAGTCTTTACTGAACACCTATTACATGCCTGGGCATAAGCTCACAGCAGGGGGCAAACAGACATAGTCCCGACTTCCTGGGCTTGGAGTCTAGAGGCTAGAGTGGTGCTGGCGAGCAAGCAGTATTCGACTACTGCAGTGCAATGGATCACTTTTATGTGGCCTTTATCATCACAGTCTTGTAATCCCCCTAAAAGACTGGGTAAGACTATGCAAATGAGGCCTTGTAGACTACCAAGGGGACTGGCTAGCTTGCTAATAATGTAAATAAGGTGCATGGCACCCTTGTGGGGATGGAACCATGCAAATAGGGCGTATGGAACCCTAACGAAGGATTGGTCAGTTTTGCCATCCTGCTAGGTTTAAAATGAGCCATCCCAGAGGACAGAAGGGAGGATCTCACCACCACCAAGAAAGAATAGCCAGGAGTGGAGCATGTCGTTTGGACCTGGGATGCCTGCACTGAGAAGCTCCTGGAACCAGAAGACTAAGAGAGAGAGAGAGCTGTCATACTGAAGCTGGCAGGAAGCGGCAACAGAGGCAAAAGACCAGCCAGCAGGAAACCAGCAGAAGACCAGCTGGAGATGGCCCAGTGGGATTCCCGGCCCACAGAGCAAGCAAGCCGGGCACCTTTGGACAGGAGCCTTGCTGCCAGAGTAGGGTGCCTCTGGTCACTTGGTAGAGGTAGGTTTGCCAACCCCGGAGCTAGAGCTGAGCACCTTCAGTCTGAGGCTTACTGGCTTGGAGCACTTATCAGCAGAGCTAAAAGAGATTCGTAACAGTTGGTGAGTGGGGCAGAAGCAGAGACGCCAGAGAAAGGCGTGCCTGCAGGCACTGCTGAAAAGAGGCTGTCCTGATTGAAGAACCATATCCTGAGCGTTTCTGAACCTGAATTGTAACCCGTTACTTCCCTAATAAACCCCATAATCATGACTATCGTCCGTGAGTTCTGTGTGGCCACTGTAACAAATTATCGAACTCAGCAGAATGCAGTGGGAGGGACAGTTGGTATCAGAATTAGTAAAAAGGCTGGATGGTGGAGGCATATCTGATCTCCGCCTCATAAGAATCAGTCTCTGGCTGTTGATCTTGATTCTCCTCCCTCCTTGTTAAGTTAGAGACGATCAGATGCCTCCTCTATGCCATTTTTACAGTTGGCATCAGAAGCAGAATTTGTTGCAATGGCTCCAAACTCATGGAAGCACGCACGGTACTTTGTAAGAGAGAGAATGAAGGGGAGTGGGAAGTGAAACTTTTGTTTGGTTGTTGTTATCTGTAATGGCTGAAAGGAAAAGTAAGAGATGTTATGCTGTAGCTGAGGAGACAAAAAAATGCATCTGGAGTGGCTTGGGGCAAGGGCCAGGCCAGTTAAACAGGATGACTGACAGAGGGCCAGGGTCTACTGCTTCCACCCAGCCAGAGGCCAAAGTCCATATGTATATGAATGGGAAAATAGTCAAGTGGTGGAGAAGATGAAACTGAATTTTTTTTTTTTTTAATTAATAGATTTTATTTTTTAGAGAAGTTTTAGGTTTACAAGAAAATAGAACAGAAAGTACAAAGAGTTCCCAAATACTCCCTCTCCCTCTGCCCAAGCTTCCCCTATTATTAACATCTTACATTTATGCAGTGCATTTGTTATAACTGATGAACTAATATTGATACATTATTATTAACCAAAGTCTATAGCTTGCATTAGGGTTCATTCTTTGTATTGTACAGTTCTATGGGTTTTGAGATATGCATAATGTCACGTATCCACCATTACAGGACCATATAAAATAGTTTCACTGCCCTAAAAATCCCTGTGCCCCACTTACTCATCTCTCCCTGAGGAAGATTTATACCTATATTAGATCAGTCAGGGTTTTCCCAAGAAACACTTCTTCGTATATGCTTTGTTTTGTTTGGTACGCGCCATTGAGTCGGTTCCGACTCATAGCGACCCTGTGTACAGCAGAACGAAACACTGCCTGGTCCTGCGCCACCCTCAACCTCACAATCATTGCTGTGTTTGAGCCCATGGTTGCAGCCACTGTGTCAGTCCATCTCGTTGAGGGTCTTCCTCTTTTTTGCTGACCTGCTACCTTACCAAGCATGATGTCCTTCTCCAGGGACTGGTCACTCCTGATAACATGTCCAACGTACGTAAGACGAAGTCTCTCCATCCTCCTTTCTCAGGAGCATTCTGGCTGTACTTCTTCCAAGACGGATTTGTTCTTTCTTCTGGCAGTCCATCATATATTCAGTGTTCTTTGCCAACACTATAATTCAAAGGCATCAGTTCTTCAGTCTCCTTTATTTATTGTCCAGCTTTCGCTGGACAATATGAGATGATTGAAAATACCATGGCTTGGGTCAGACGCACCTTAGTCTTTAAAGTAACATCTTTGATTTTTAACACTTTAAAGAGATCTTTTGCAGCAGATTGGCTCAGTGCAATATGCTGTTTGATTTCTTGACTGCTGCTTCCATGGGCATTGATTGTGGAAAAACTGAAATGTTTTTGAAAGGGTTTATGTGTCTACCACCACCACCACCACCAACACCCGCCCCACCCGCAGTGAGTTTGTCTACTATGGGAGTGGTTTGAACAGAACAAGGGGATATTGTGTGGTTTAAAGTCAAGAAGGGTGTGCAATCAGGGTTGTTGTATCTTTTCACCATACTTATTCAATCTGTATGCTAAGCAAATAATCCAAGAAGCTGGACTATATGAAGAAGAACAGGGCATCAGGATTGGAGGAAGACTCATTAACAACCTGCCTTATGCAGATGGAACAACCTTGCTTGCTAAAAGTGAAGAGGACTTGAAGCACTTATTGTTGATGATTAAAGACCACAGCCTTTGGTATGGATTACACCTCAACATAAAGAAAACAAAAATCCTCACAACTGGAACAATACTACAACCTCATGATAAACAGAGAAAAGATAGAAGCTGTCAAGGATTTCATTTTACTTGGATCCACAATCAACACCCATGGAAGCAGCGGTCAAGAAATCAAACGATACACTGCATTGGGCACATATGCTGCAAAAGACCTCTTTAAACTGTTAAAAAGCAAAGATGTCACCTTGAGGACTAAGATGCACCTGACCCAAGCCATGGTGTTTTCAATTGCCTCACATGCATGCGAAAGCTGGACAATGAGTAAGGAAGACCAAAGAACTGACGCCTTTGAATGGTGGTGTTGGCAAAGAATACTGAATATAACATGCGCTGCCAAAAGAACAAACAAATCTAACTTGGAAGAAGTACAGCCAGAATGCTCCTTAGAAGCAAGGATGCTAAGACTTTGTCTCACATACTTTGGACATGTTCTCAGGAGGGATGAGCCCCTGGAGAAGGACATCGTGCTTGGTAAAGTACAGGTCAGTGAAAAAGAGGAAGACCCTCAACCAGAAGGATTGACACAGTGGCTGCAACAATAGGCTCAAGCATAACAATGACTGTGAGGACTTCGCGCAGAGCTGGGCAGTGTTTTGTTCTGTTGTACACAGGGTCGCTATGAGTCAGAATCGACTCGACAGCACCTAACAACAACAACATGTTTTTATTTGAATGTACCATGGATATTGAATATTTCTCCTACCTAGTGTTGTAAAGCAGAGCCAAATGTATGATGGAAATGAACATTGGCTATTAGAGATAACAGAGATCCTGTAACTCAGCCAGTGTTTCACTGGATATGCTAAAAGGGGAACTAGGATTTGCCTGAAAGAAACACAGGCTGTTCATTTCAATGTAGTAACCCTGTGTATACCTCAGCCCCACCCTAAACCTTTGAGTCAGGAAATTTGCATTTGAAAAGACATGCAGACCCACCCAGAGCTGCTGAGAAAACAGCAGATTTGCATTTAAAGGAAGGACCTGGTGGGGGGCGGGGGGTGGAGGGACTGTTTTGCTTTCCGAATTTTGAGCAAACTGTTTGCCTTTGGATGCATTGGAGGCAGGAAAAGTCAGTGCCCATCAGAAGAACCCCCTTCTAGAACTGGAAGTTAAAGGGAGCCGGCAAGTAGACAGCAAGGTATGCTTGCTTGAGGTGACCAACTGGGGTCAAGAGATGAGTAGAAGTTAGGGAGGTGTAGCAATGAAGAGATGGGCTAGGGATGAGAGAAACAGAGAAAGGGATGCCTGGTCAGAAGTGCCATGAGGTATGTAGACTCCGGAGCCTACGGCTGGTACCCACTGTGACCTAGCTTGGATGGCTAGGAATGAGCTAACCAGAACCCGAGCAAGATATTTGACACCACGAGCTGGTGTAAATTGCTGCAATTTGACGGCTTGCTCTAGAGTTGACTCTGCTTATGAGTCCAAACCAAAAACCACACCTGCTGCTGTCAAGTCGACCCTACAGGACAGAGAACTGCTCCACAGGGTTTCCAAGGAGCAGCTGGTGGATTCGAACTGCTGACCTTTTGGTTAGCAGCCATAGCTCTTATCGCTTATGGATGCAGATGCTCAAAGTTTTAAGTAGAACAGAAGATTCTTCATCAAAAGAACATGCTTATCTCCTCATAGTACTGGTTTGACAGGGATAGGTAATTTAAACATTGGCTATCTAAAACAGGCATTTGTTCCTCCTGCAGCCCAGAACAACTGCATGACCTGTGTGCCTGGGGTGGTTTCTCAATGAGCACTGCCCAAGTGACAGAAATGGTCTGACGTCACCCCTGTCCTATGAGCTGCACTGCCTCACAAGCTCACCTAGGCTGCCAGAGAGAACCACGGAGGGGATACTCCCTCCATGGAGACAAAGCCAAAGGGCCCTGCAAGAGGGAGAGATGTCCTAATCTAAGAGATACGCCTCCTGATGTTCTATTTCAAAAAGCACATTATACTTTTTGTTCTTAACAGTCTGGTACAAAGGTCCCCGAGTGATGCAAATGGTTTGTACCAAAAGGTTGGCAGTTGGAACCTACCCAGTGGCACTGCAGAAGGAAGAAGCATGGAGATCTGCTTCTGTAAAGATTACAGCCAAGAAAACCCTATGGAGCAGTTCTACTCTGTAACACATGGAGTTTCCTAAGTCACAAAACAACTACAAAAACAAAACCAACAACATAATAGTCTGGTATAACCTCACAACAACCCCCTTTGGTGTTATCAGTACATTTTACGCAGGACGAAGCTGAAGCTCTGAGTGGCCGGCCCAAGGTCCCACAGTGGGTCAATGGCAAAGGTGTGTCATCCAAGGTTTGTCTAACCTGCTGCCCTCTACATCCATTAGCTGATTTTCTACCACACCATGGGCACTTAAACCCAAAAGAGTCAAGCCAGGTGTGAGGGACAGGGGAACAGAAGCCGTGGAGGCTTCTCCCATCAGGCAGTGTTTCCCAGTCATGCGTAACACAGGTCTGCTTTTGATAACAGGAAAGTGCAGGAGTGAGGAGCTTGGGCTCTAGATTCAGACTGCCTGGGTTCAAATCCCACTCTGCCACTCACTACCTGTGTAGCCCGGGGCCAGCCATCTTGCCTCTCTGTGCCTCAGCTTCCTCGTCTGTAGAATGGACACCACCATTGTCTGGGGTCTTAAAAGCTTGCAAGCAGCCATCTAAGATGCATCATTTCGTCCCAACCACTTGGAGTAAAGGAGAACGAAGAATATCAAAGACACAAGGAAAGTATTAGCCCAAGAGACAGAATGGGCCACATAAACCAGAGACTTCATCAGCCTGAGACCAGAAGAACTACACGATGCCTGGCTACCACCAATGAACGTCTGACAGGGAACACAACAGAGGGTCCCTGATGGAGCAGTAGAACGATGGGGTGCTGAACTCAAATTCTAGTAAGAAGACCAGACTTAATGGTCTGACTGAGATTGGAGGTGCTCCAGAAAGCATCGCCTCTGGACTCTCTATCAGCCCAGAACTAAAACAATTTCCGAGGCCAACTCTTCAGACAGGGATTGGACTGGACTGTGGGACATAAAGTGATACTCATGAAGAGTGTGCCTCTTAGTCAAGTAGATACAGGAGACCAAAGGGGCAGCTTCTGTCCAGAGGTGAGATGGGAAGGCAGAGAGTATCAGGAGCTGGTTGAATGGTCATGGGGAATCAGGGGCGGAAAGGAGGAGTGTGCTGTCGCAGAATGGGGTGAGCAATTAGGGTCTCATAACAATGTATGTAAAAAAAAATTTTGTATGGGAGACTAACCTGAAATGTAAACTTCATTTAGTTATAACAATTAAAAAATATATATATATTAAAATAAGAAATAGGAAAAATACCTCTTTGTTTCCTCATATAATACCTTATATTGCCTTTTTTAGTTTAACAATCAACTCTGGAAAAATACAGAAGCATTCATTTGGAAAAAAAAAACAATGGACCACACCACTCTCCTCACAGGGTTGTAGTGAGTCCTCAGTAAGAGAATACACGTGCGGTTCCCAGTGTACAGGAAGGACAGTGACCAGGGCAAGGAACATAATTACCTGCTGACGTGATCATCGTCCCTCAGAGGGTTGGGGATCTCTTCACATGCAGTCAGCAGGGCGGCTGCCAAACACACTGAGTAGGCTGCACTGGAGCCCAAGCCCGCCCCGGTGGGCAGCTCTGACCACACCACGATGTCCAGGCTTGGCAGGGCCCTGAAACACACCAGGGTGCAAAGTGTGACTGTCTTGAGGGCAGTGAGGTGCCATCACTGAACCGGGGATCAAGGCCCAGTGCCTGACTCTAAGCATCTGGCCAGTTCTCTGAACTCTCAGAGATTTCTCAACCCCAAAGGCATCCCTATTGGATGGCAGAAACTTCTGGTGAATCAGACAACTAGAAAATAAGAATCAGATTTACCTAAATCACTACTATCTAGCCAGATCTCTTCTAGAAAGTGCCTCGCCAACCATCAACCCCTTTCTTTAAACTCCTTCCTGTTCCATGAACATGTTCCACGGTCCTGTCCTTAGCACAGGCTGGACCCTCTGCCTGGAATAGCCTCATACCTCTTTATCTCCCAGGGAAATTCTGACCTATCCTTCAAGACCCTTCTCAGATGTCACTTCCTCTGTGAAGCTTACCCTGACCACCATGAAGGCAACTCCTAGGTCTCCGTTTCTAATCCCTAGCACGTAATCTTGCTCCATCACTGCCTAATTGCAGTACACTAACTGTTTACGTGGAGGCTTCTCCCATCAGGCACAGCTTCCCAGTCATGTGTAACACAGGTCTGCTTCTGATAACAGGAAAGTTCAGGATCACTGCCTCTTATGTGCATTCCCCAAACCAAGAACTGTCAAACGTCAGGATCAGTAACTTCCCTTAGATACTTTTCCTATTTTCCAAGTATAACATTGTAATATTGACCGTGCCTTTTCAAACTACACATGCCCATTCCAGGAGCTTCTGAAATGTCCCCCATGAAGGGGACATGCCCCTCTGAGGTTGACAGCAAGTGTCAGGATGTTCACAAATGTAAATTATGTTTAGTTAGCATCTGCTGCAGGAGTGAAGGGCTGCCCCTTGAGGTTTTCTCTTTGGGTTCTGGACAGTGAATATTCACTCTGCCAGGTACTCCGCTAGGATATCTCTAATCCTCCTAGTAGTTCTGAGAAAATAAAAAATAAGAATAGCCAACCTTATCAAGCTATGTGCCAGGCACTGTGCTTTACACACATTAACTCATTTAACCTCACAGGTACCTATAGGGTAGGTACTATCACTGCCCTCATTCACAGATGAAGAAGCTGTGGCTTAAGGTTAAGAACCTCAAGTGCACTACAGTGTGCCACACATTCTAACTCTCAAGCCCAAGCTCTCTCTCACCAGGTGACACTCCCTCAACAGCACTGTCACCCTCAAGGAGGTGGCTTCCCAAAGAGCAGAAAACTCAGATCTTATCGTAAGGGGTGATGCAGACACATGCTTCACTTTGCTAATCAGGGAGCTTCCCTGGAGCCAGTGCGAGGTGGAGCTAAGTTGCCTCTGTAGAAGCCACACAGGGGATCCAAGAATGGCATTTGGATTGGTTCTACTGAATCAAAGAGACCAGAGGTGGCAGGTGGGATTAAGAATATAAGATTCTGTATTAATATGAACTGAATTAACTTCCCAGTTGTACCACTTACTAGTTAGCCGCATGGCCTTAAGTATCCTTATTGTCTGAGCCTCATGTTCCCTGAGCATAAAATGAGGATAGTGCCTCTCTCATAGGGTTGTTGGGAATATTAAAAGAATAACATATATTAAGCGTCTAGTGTGGTGCCTGGCACAGGGGGAGGACAGCTGGTGGTTGCTGCTATTAGCCTAAAAGGGAGCATGTGCATTCTCCTGCAGCAGCAACTTGAAAAACCCTCCCAATTACCTGGGGGAGCCGAATATAAACTCCTTTCCCCAACCACGCACAAACCTCTGCTTCTGGCAGATGGACAGGTACAAGTAAAGGAAGGCCAGCACAGCCACTTGCTCACTGATGGCACAGTCCTCAGGGAAGCCTGCCACCTCCTTCAGCTTTTCCACTTGCTCTGGGGTGGGCACTGTGACGACACCTTGTTCTGTCACACAGGCAAACAAGCAAACACTGTGGGTGAGAGAGCCTCAGGGGCTTTTATAAACAACAGAATACACAAAATTGTACCGTTACTGGAATCAGAATCTGGGTGGACAGGAACTCACAGTCCAGGTACCACAGCTGAGTTTCTTGGTTGACTTCAGGCTTTGGAGGCAGGTGGACTTGGATGTGAGTCCTGACCGTGCCATTTACTGGCTTTGTGGCCATGAGCAGTGACTTAAGCTCTCTGAACCTCAGTTTCCCTCCTTGGTAAAAGAGGAATAACAGCAGTACCTCCTCACAAAGCTGTCATGAAGATAAAATTAAATAAAGTATGTAAAATCCTCAGCACAGCTCCCAGCACATGTAGCAAGGGCTTAATTAATAGCCAAAAAAATCCCAAACCCGTTTCTGTCAAGTAAATTCTGACTCACAGAGACCCTACAGGACAGAGTAGAACTGCTCCACAGGGTTTCCAAGGCTGTAATCTTTACAGAAGCAGACTGCCACATCTTTCTCTCACTGCTTAACAGGAGTTTTAAAACACATACACATACATACACACATACACAAAGTGAATGCTGGCTCAATCACTTAATCACTCGAGTTTGATCTTCTATATTACAAAACTCAAACTAAAGGGAATATTAAGCATTCCCAAGATATTCCCCTCTCTCAAAACATACTTAGACCAGTGGTCTAATTATGACCAAGTAAGACCAGTGATTTTGAAATATGGGATTTGCTTGAGCGGGAGGGAAAGGCGAGGTAGAAATTTCTTTCCCAGTGGCACACAGGAGGCTGGGCCACTTTCCTGAGAAGCTGGGCAAGTCTAACCAGCTCATCTTTCCAAATCACTCCCTGAGCCCTGGGTCAGATTCTAAAGGAACGTGATGTTGAATTGGTTGTGCCTGTGTTAGGAAACTTCAAGACACATATTAAGTCCCCAATAAATAGGTGATGAACAAACTAATGATACATTAAAGGCAGCCAAGCCGGCGACGATGTTTTGGAAAGCCCAGACATCTCAGAGCTCTGTAATGGAGATGGAACACTTATGAAGAGCCTGGGCTTTGGAGTTTAGAAAGGTCTGGGTCGGAGTCCTCTCTGTATCACTATCAAGCTGTATGACCTAAGCCACTTGGCCTCGCTGAACTTAAATTTCCTTATCTGTAAAATGGCGAAGAATAACACCATCTACTTCCAGGGAAGGCTGGAAAATTCTAAGAGTGCAACATAACGTAACACACCTAGTTCAGTGCCTGGCCCACGTAAATGTCCAACAAATGTTCACTGTATTTAATACTATTATGAGCGATTAAAAAAAAAACCCACTTAAAAAAAAAGATGTCAGATCCTGGCAACCTAGTGGAAAGCATGTCTCCAAAGGCTCAAATTCCTTCTAGCTCCTAGGAGAAGTAGAATAACAAGCCCTCACCCATGGACTGCATTCTATCTCAGAGCCCTAGTGCCTGCCTCCAATCCTGCTGCATGCAACCCTCAGTTAAGCAACAGGACTCTGCTCACTGGGGCTCAGAAGGTTAAGGGACCTTCCCAGGATCACACAGGAAGTCAGGAGTGAGTCAGAACCAAAAGTCATCTGAGACATGTCCCAGCACACCCAGCTGCTTCCATCCTATGTTACTGACAGGCAAAAAAGGCAGCCTCTTTTAAAATTTGCAATTGAGAAAGAGCTTACCCAACAGGTGGGGGTTTTATCACTGAGTTTCAAGTAGTAAAAAGAGCAAAGGCCTGCATTATGTGCCATGTGTGTTCTCAGGGACCATTTCTGGCCTGGCTGGGTTGCCCTGTGCACCATGGACAACAAGTCGCAGCTGCTGTGGCCAGGAGTCTTCTGACCCCTGCTCCACAGTAAACCAAAAAAACCCAAATCCATTAGTGTCAAGTCGATTCCGACTCATAGCGACCCCTATAGGGCAGAGTAGAACTGTCCCATAGGGTTTCCAAGAAGCAACTGGTGGATTCAAACTGCCAACCTTTTGGTTAGCAGCTGTAGCTCTTAACCACTGCGCCACCAGAGCTCCTGAATCGAGGAGTACTGGCCCTGAATCAGGGGTGTCTCTGGAATCAGCCAGGGAACCCCTTTTAAAATATACATCTCTGGGCCCAGACCACCACCACCACTGATTCTCAACAGGAGACGGGCAGAGCCAAGAATCCACTGTATTGTTTAAAAGCAAAACAAAACAACCTTCCCAGGACACAAAGCAAGGCTCAATAAATTTCAAAAGACTGAAATTGTACAAAGTATCCCTTCCAATCACAATGGAAAGAAACTAGAAATGAAAAACAGAAAGAGAACTAAAAAATACACAAATATGTGTAAACTAAATAACACACTACTAAGTAACCAGTGGAGCCCTGGTGGCCCAGTGGTTAAGAACTACATCTTTTAGCCAAAAGGTTGGCAGTTCAAATCCACCAGCCACTCCTTGGAAACTGTATCTGGCAGTTCTACTCTGTCCTATAGGGTCGCAATGAGTCGGAATTGACATGACCGCAACAGTTTCAGTTTAAGTAATCAAAAGGAGTCCCTGGGTAGCGCAAATAGTTACTCACTGAACTACTAAACGAAACGTTGGTGGTTCAAACCCACCCAGAGGTGCCTCCGAAGTAAGGCCTGGTGATCTCCTACCGAAAGGTCACAGCCTTGAAAACCCTATGGAGCAGTTCTTCTCTGTAACACATGGGGTCACCATGAGTCAGATTTGACTTGGTAACAACTAACAGCAACAAGTAACCAATGGGTCAAAGAAGAAATCAAGAGAGAGATCAAAAAATACTTAGAGTCAAATGAGAATGAAAACTAACATACCCAAACCTATGGGATACAGCAAAATTTATATCAAAAATGCATACATTAAAAAGGAAGAAAGAGGATGACAGAGGGTGGGGCCGAGATGGCTGAGTAGTCAGATGCTTCTTCTGGCCCCTTTTACAACAAAGACCCGAAAAAACAAGTGAATCGATTATATATGACAATCTAGGAGCCCTGAACATCAAAGGCAAAGTTGAGGAACTGGACTGAGTGGCAGGGGGAAGGAGAGATGGTTCAGAAACAGCGTGGAGTTGCCAACCTGACCTGGTGGGAGCCGGTACCCTTCAGGCCAGATCAGCTGGTGCGCACGGTGAGGCAAACAGTGGCACTCAGAGGGGTTTTCCACATTGGGAGAGACCAAGAGGCAGAGAGTCTACTTGGGCCTCCAGAACCACTGAAAAGTGGCACTCAGTTGGCAAAAGGTAAGTACATGCATCTGACCTATCGCGCAGATCAAAAAACACCCTCTTTGGGAAAAACCTCTATCTCGTTTACCTGTCCTTTCCCTACTCCGCACCAGGTCCCGGGCCAGATTCAGCGAATGTCGAGTCCCCTGGGCCAGAAGTAGGACCCATCACGTGCCCTGAGCCATTCCTGGCCTTGGAGAGGGAACAAATTAACCAACAGTAAAAAATATTCTGCCAGCTTTCCTAAGCCGGGAACTCAGGATAGACACAGCTCCTTTGTTAGGCACAGGCATAAGGGGTCCATGGACTTTGAATATCTTTCACCCCTGCATAGACCTATGTGGGCCCATTTCAACAGCACAGGCCCTCATTAACACAGTACAACAGAGTATATACCTGAAGCCTAACTTCAACTGTATCAGCTATATGGTGAAACGACAGGTTCGTGACATTTGACACTGCTCTACCCATTAAGCAGGGTCTCACCTACCCACATCAGCCTGAGGACAGGTGGCTCCACCCATGCCACCGAGCCACACGCAACACAGGTCTAAGAATAAGTGGTGCCTACCAGTCCTTACAGCCAACAACATTGGGTGCCCATAGTCCAGCTGCAAAACCCACCCACCTACGTGCTCTAGAGAACAGGGACGTGCTTTCCTCCCAGACACTCAGGGGCAGCCGTCAGCTCTCTGCCTTGCTCAGCACATGACCCCCTACAGCAACCAGATACCTGTGCCTATACCAACCACCCCTGCCTGCGTAGGACTGTAGCTGAGAGCCTGCACCACAGACTTGATGACCAACTACCTGGACATCTGAGCTGAATTCATACAAGAAAAGTAAACAGACTCCTGGGCTCACATACCCAGTAACAGATCTAACTACCTGGTGACAGAACATTAGAGCTTCAAAGGTGTCAATAATCAAACTAGCTCACAAGGCCAGCCTATTTGGGCATATGAAAACAAAACAAGAAGCTAGGACCCATTAAGCAAACATAAAATAAATATAACAACTTATTGATGGCTCAAGGACAACAGTCAATATCAAATCACATAAAGCGGCAGATGGCTGCTTGATGGCTTGATGGCTTGATGGCTTCAGTAAGCTCCCAAAACAAAGAATCAAGAAATATTCCAGAGGAAGAGAACTTATTGGAATTATTGGAAGTAGAATACAAAAAATTAATATACAGAACTCTTCAAGAGATCAGGAATGAGATCATTCAAAATGCAGAACAAGCCAAGGAACATACAGTCAAAGCAATAGAGGAATTTAAGATAAGAGAAGAGCATAACGACAAATTTAAGAAACTGTAAGAATCCATAGAGAGACAGCAAACAGAAATCTAGAGGATTAACAATAAAATTTCAAAATTAGACAACTCAATAGAAATTCAAAGGAGCAGGGTCGAGGCAATGGAAATCAGAATTAGTGAGGCTGAAGATAAAGCACTTGACACCAACTTATTCGAGGAAAAATCAGATAAAAGAATTAAAAAATATGAAGAAACCCTAAGAATTATGTGGGACTCTATCAAGAGGAATAATCTATGAGTGATTGGAGTACCAGAACAAGAGAGGGTAACAGAAAATACACAGAGAAGTGTTGAAGATTTGTTGGCAGGAATGTTCCCTGATATCGTGAAAGATGCGAAGATATCTATCCAAGATGCTCATTGAACCCCATATAAGGTAGATCCCAAAAGAAACTCACCAAGACATATTATAATCAAACTTGCCAAAATCAAAGATA